TGTCGGTTATAAATTACCATTGCTTTTCAGGTTTATTAAGAAGAACTTCATCCACCTGAACAGCAGGTGACGATATAAACTGGCAAACCATTCAAGGCTACCCAAAATGAAAACCTGGTCTAATTAATCGCCATTCCCTGCCTTCGAAGCTAGATAGTCATGATCTTGAGGTTTTAAAAGCAGTGGTGCATGATACGACAGTCTTCTAGCTCAAAATATATTAAATTGGATGTCCTAGATATATCACGAAGGCAAAGGTCCCAGCAGCACGTAACGCAGATTTATTGATCACTTCCCTAGGTTGACGTGTCGAGAGACGAAGATAGCTTCAAACGAAAATACCACTTAAATGATATCAACAAAATGTGCTTACCTCCTTTGCTTTCTCACACAGATCGAACAGGCCTTCCTTCATAAACAGATGTCGCAATTTCCTGAAAATCAAGAGGCATATGAGACAATTAAAAATTTAGGAAAGATAGGTTTATGTATAATAATACAGTAGTAGCCTGCTTCTGACAACTTTACAATGATAGTCGCAGATTTAGAATATCGAAAGCAATCACCATTTACACATCACATGGTTCTGTCCACTGGTTTGAACTGGCACTTTCTCTTACACTCTTATTTGTTGTTTGTCCCTTACCTGTTACCTAAAATAGAAAATATTTTGCTTTCTTTCATCAATGCTGGAAAACAGGATTGTTTTGCGATTTTATTTAAACACTAAACTATCAATTATACTTCATATGCAACTCAGATATGAAATTTGTGGCTATTTACCACTGGTACTCATAAAGCTTGGTAAGAATACATAACAAGAAGTCTATAATGTTAGAATAACATCAAAATACGTTCCTACAACGCAAAACTAGTCCATAATCAGATTTTACGGCGTACTATACCACCTCCAAGGGACCATTAGAGCAGGCCACTATCAAGTGCTTAAGGAATGATGAGCTATTTGACATACTCCGGCATTCGAACAAGTTCTAATGTTCACGCGA